TTCTCTTTTTATTTGCCTACTGGTATCCCTAGAGACCCATAGAGATGCCCCACTACGAGTGAACCAATATCCAACATTGTTAACTAATAGGTCGTCCCCATATCCTGTCCGGTATGAGGGCCAAAAATATCATCCTTCAATACTCCGTCCGGTATGAGGATAAATCGGGCCGTACCCATACCTCGTCTGGTATGAGCACCAAAAATATCATTTCTCGATACCCCATCCGGTATAAGATAGAATTCATGGTAGGGTTCCCTATGTACCCGATCTGTCCACCATCTCTCAGGATTTCTAGTAAGGTTACCATTTATTAATTCACATAACCAAATAATTTTCTGTTTGCATATTAATTTATAATTTTATAAATTAACCGTAAATCACGCAAGACAAGCAATACATATATCAAGGAAACACAACTGAATCATTTAACCATTTCAGTATATCATCATGTATTTAAAGCTGTAAATTACACAGAATGACAAATAAATGACTAATCGGTTCCGACTCCATTAGTAACTTGTAATTATTCTTAAAATTTTTTAAATTACACGAAATACCATATTATTGATTATTAAGTTTCAATTCCATAATAGAGAATAAGGTGATAGATTCTTAACCGAATCGGTGTCCGAAACATTGAACTTTCTATTATGCCTACTAGCGGTCCTCGAATTTTCTGAATTTTTCTGTGGAGATTAAAACACGCTTCACGTACCTAAAAATACTCTAAAAATCCAAAATTGGTGTTAAAATTCTTTTTCGGCCAATTTTAGTATTCCAGCACGGTAGCACCGCCGTGCTCCAACGATGACATCGCCACTGGCGGTGGTAGTTTACCTCGGTCTGTCCTTTTTTGGCCAGTTGTGGCCAGTTTTATACCCATTCATGTGAGAAAACGTGTTACGGAGCCTCGGTTGGCAAAAACAAAAAGTCAAAAAACGAAAACCTATCGGTGGTGGAATTTTTCGGTGCAACGGCTCTACTGGCTCACCTTTGCAGTTGGTGTTTTTCTTCGATTAACCTGTAGAAAATAGAATGGTGAACACAATGGTGGAAAAATCGCATAAAACAGAAAATGGAAAGGGGCTCATCGGAGGAGGTTGTATGTTTTTCCCGCGACGGTGCTGTTGGACTTTACCCACAGTTTTTGGCTCATCCGCTGCTCTTTTTGCTCTAATTTGGCCATGAGGGTGCTCATAATCAAATTCCGAGTGGATAAGAGAATTTTTACCTTTTTTGGCAGTCGGAGGTGGCTTCGGCGCGGCGGGTGGCTCCCTTCACCAGTGACTAGTTCTTCTTTCTCCGGCGGGAGGCTAGCGGCTAGGGTTTGGGTTCAGTGTGATGCAAAATATTTATACCTGCCTCGTGTTAATCTGGACCGTTCATTGCGTTTAATCGTGACCGTTCGATCGTGCATGAGGAGAGAACATATTAGGACTGTCCATGCACGCGGGAACGCTTTTGGACAGTTCGATTGCGGGGCACGTAGATCGCCAGCGTGGCCTCTCGCATGACATTGAGTTTACCACGCGGCGCGCTTCGGTTCGTCGAGGCTATTGACTGGGCAGTCCTACGTGGCGTAATGTTTTTTTAATTACGTTCTGACTCCCATTTTTTCATTTTTCTTTCAAAAATACATTCGAATCCAAATGTTTACCCTTTTTTTCTAAAATTATTTTCTATTTCATCTTCAACCTATTTTTTTCCCATAATTCCATATTAAATTAAAATTTATTAATTTTAAAAATAGGTTTTTATATATTTTTTGATGTTAAAATTAATTCAAGACTAAATTTCGAGCTCGGTTATTACAACTCTCCCCCTCTAAAAGAAATTTAATCTCTTAAATTTGTCTCTCTCTCATTCAATAAAATAGTTGGAAATATTAGGCTCTGAAGTCTGATTCTAGCTCCTATGTGGCCTCTCTCTATGTGTGATTCTGCTATAGGACCTTAACGAAGGAAATTTTCTAATTGTTGAGTAATATGCTCTTTCAATCCACAATACCCACCGATATCTCCTCATAGGACAGATCTTCCTGAAGTGAAAGGGGCTCGTGGACCAAGATGTGAGAGGAGTCCGAGTTGTATTTGCATAACATGAATATATGAAACACATTATGAACTCTATATAGTTTTGAAGGTAGTGTCAGTCTGT